GCTTATAAACTACAGCTTTATTTGGAAACACAAGTTCAACGAATTGAAAGTTTTAATTTTTGAGCTTGCCTATTTTTGTTTCAAAGCTATTCTTTTTTTTTAGTTTTGAACAATATATAAAGAAATTATCCAAAAATACGTAAAAAAAATTTGTTTTAAAATTATTTTTTAAAATCTAAATTAAAATTGCAACCGCTCATGTGGACGAAAAACAATATGGATTGATATTATTTTTTCAATACTTTGGTTATCTATTGAAACTCTCACATAACACTTGGTTATGATATCAAGCTCTAGCTTAGGCTAAGTTATATCAGAAATCCAAAGGATTCACTTAGACCTATTGGCCCATTGTGTTACTCTATAAAAAACTCAAAGGCTTCAAAACTAACTTTAACAAATCCTAAATTGCTCTTTACTGAAAGGTCCTGAACCTGGACATGATCCCCAAAAATGTGAGCCCTCAGCATAATCAATATCCGACCCGCATACTCTGAACATTAACATGTGAAGCACTAACATCTTCTTCTCCGTAACTACGACTTAAACTTCTATGTTGGTTTCCTAATTGGGTTATGCATTCTATATTCATCGTGCTTTAGTATATTAATTGAGAATCAACTTAAAAACAGGCGCAACTGGAGAAAGGTGTGATGTAGCGTTAACACCATGCTCATTAAGAGGGCATAGGATTAAAGCTATTAATGTATATGAACGCATATAACGTATATAAAAGTATTAAGCTTAACTATAAACCTTTCATTATAAGAGCTTTAACAAACTCCTTAAAATTTTAACTCTTTGGTTTTGTAATGAAGTATACTCCCAACAAATAAATAAGTTTTTGAGGTAATGGACTCTCCTCAAAAATTTATCATGAATTTAGATATATTACATATAAGAACAGATAATATTTTTATTGACATTAAGATGTCGTATTTACTTAAAATGTTGATAAAAACGTTAATACATATATAAAATAACACTATATTATTTATATTATATAATTTAATCTATGGCATATCTAATCTACATTACATTAAAAAAGTGACTTATTAGTATTTCATGAGCTCGAACTTTAGCTGTCACACTGCTTTGAAAGACTATTATCAACCCGCGGGAAATGGGCTAGAAGAACCCCGTTATAAGGCATGATTGTAGTAAGAAGCGACTGAATCTAGTAAGCACCAGTAGAGATATTAACATGAAATTTACTTTAAATACATTCTAAGCATATAAAGCAATGACTAATTCCAATCAGTGATACTAAGAAACCTGTATCAGTAATTTTATCACTGCCAAAGATAACTTACTTTTTGGTTCGTTAATTTTGTAAATATATCATATCACAATTATGCCATATATTCAAGTACTTAAATTTATGTATGCTATAAATGTATACAATAAATATCTACCCCATATTTGCTCAAAATAAATATCAATTTAATTTACTATAAATCTGAGAATTACAAATCAAAGGATTAAAAATTTGATATGAAATAATCACGTTGTGAACTTTTTACACTTAGTGCCATAAATTTTTTTATAAATTTTCCTGTTGTAATTTATGTAGAAGTGATTAAAAAAATGCCAACCTCTGATTATGTTTTACACATGAAAATTCCTGAAAAACTACAATATATTTTTTTTCAGTAAAATATGCGTATGAGTGCTGCGAAAAAAACTTGAAAATATATGATATGTAACTGTAATATATATTTTTTGTGTAATATTTCATGTAGGAAGTAATAAAATGTATTTTTTATAATACTCATACACAGATGTAGATTTTATATGAAATCAATATATAGAATAGATGATATGCAAATCTGCATTCAACATGCAACGGATGCACATTATGTTGAATGCTAACAATTAATTGAATGATGATACAAGTTAGCATTCATTATGACTTTTGGATGCGTTAAAGTGCACAAAGTGAACGGAAACGGAAGTAACGCTATTAATTTTGATTTAATACACAAATTCATATATATACAGATGCACTTATGTGCAAATATACACATATTTACATTAATGTATGTTTATATAGAGAAATGCGATATTCGATGCGCATATGTATAGTAATTGCATGCAAAGATACAAATATATAACTACATTGATGAGTGTAACTGACATAGCAAAACCACATTTACATACTGAATACAAGCTAAAGGTGCAATGTCAAAGTGCAATAATTAAATATTCAATTAAAAATTTTTATTAAAAATTGTTACATCGATTTCGATATCGATTGTAATGATGCAGAGTGAATGCACAGAGTTCAACGGAAGTACACATGCTTCAATGAAGTTAATTTTATCTTTAAAACATACAAATATGCAGATACAATATATTAATTTTTATATTTTGCGGTTTTTTAATGAACTTCAGTAGAAAGTCGTACTTGTTTGTTATAATCGACAAACAAAAAATTTTATTTTAAAATTGTATTCCATGGCGTATGAGTAACTTTTTGAGGTATTGGAAATTTGCGATAATTTAAAAGTAATAAATTAAATATAATTAAAAAAGCATTTTTATAATAATTTATGTATTCTAGAGTCAATATAAGTAAAGTTAAATATTATTTACTGAGTTTGGAACTTATAGAAGAAACATTTATTTAAATGTTAATATATGTCGATAAGTGATTAAAGTATATTTGTTATTATTTTAGAAGTATTCATACTAATATATGAAGTTATTGTTATTTTTTATCATTAGAAAATCTCAAAGTCGTACTTTTATTAAAATAATGTGTTGAAACATATGCCAAAAGTTCCATGGTATATCAGAAGTGATGGTATACACACAGACTCGAGATTTATGCAAAAGTACATCAAATATAGAACGCTGAAATTGTTTAATTTTGTTTACGCTCACATAATTCAGAACTTGTTAATCACAGTGTAGAGTAAAGATATGCTAGGCTTCAAACAATACCTCTGTAAATTCACCTGATTAACTTGTTATTACAATGCAATGAAGCTCTTGTTACTGTCGACACTATTGAATGAAATTGCTTCAAACACTAACTAATATTTCATCAGAAAAAGATTGCAAAGAAAAAGTAGAACTTATATCCATCACTCATCCTCACAAATTTACTATTTTTTCAACTAAATTTTAAGTATCCTCAATAATTTTATCTTTAAAAGCTTAAGTTCTTTCAACATATTTTAATTAGCATTAACTTTACTGTTTTTTTTGCTTAGATTTTTCTAATGCACTATTTGCAATTTACTTAGTTACTTTCTTATAATAAATTAACAAACATCATTTAAAAATCATTTGACATAAAATTACAAAATATTGTCTAAGTATGAACAACTTAAAATCCACATTTAAGACTCTGTCATTGTGTCACAAGATAAATGAGCTTAACTGAGGTGCAACAAGCTTTACTTTATATACACAGGCAACGAAGCATACATGGACATCTCTGCAATATGCACCTGTACCAGCATTCAAAGCCAGCAACCAAAAAAGGCTACTAACATCTCAGATTAACACGGAAGATATATAAATTGTGTAACATACGGGCAAGTTAAGTTGCCAAACTACAACAACAATATAAAGTGAAAACAACAACAACAACATAAGTGTAAGTACCAGTGACAGCATTGCCAGTTTAACAAGATTTCAGTGCTACACATTTATACATATACACACATCCAAAGTTTCATGCACTTAACGTTGTTTACACGTTTGCCACTCGAAGGATATTATCCTCCTCAAGGATACACGAATGACCGAGCTCTGATGACCAAAGTACAAAAGTAGTATAGCGAAAGACAAAGGACAAATGTTGGCGAAAAGCAGGTTATCGTCTTTTTACGCTTATCAACTTTAAATACAAAAAGCAGGGAATAAAAAAAAATAAAATTTTTTAGAGTATAAAAAACAAAAATAGATGAGCAAGTTATTTGAAATATGGTTGGTAATGACCGACTAAGCCATTAGCTACCATATAGCAATTAACTAAAATCTTGTACGTATTAAAAGCCTTTATCAAAATATGATCTGCACTAATTAAGTTCAAAGACATATTGATTAGTTACGCAGATGTTTAGTTTTACATATACCGCGAGGGTAGCCACAAAACAAACCTGACTTCATGCAAATATGAACATTAACTATTAAATGAAAGACAATCTATTTACATATATATGTTATTAAAAGAATCAAAACAATCAACTGAGAGCGTAAAACATTCAGTATTACCAACATAGACGGTATGCTCAACACTCATATGAAGAAAATGCATTGATAAATGCCCCCATTAGAAAGAATTCTGCCGGTACCAATTGAAGCCATATACATATGTCTTATATTACTGCCTCCTTCATTATGGCTTCGCATATCTAACCCTCAGCTGTTGTTTGGATTACAACATCCGATTGAAAAAATATAACTTCACATTGAATAAAAGTATAAGAGTCTTTTTTATTTACTTTGGATGTTAACCACAACTACCACAAAACTACTCTAATGAAGACAACTCCGTCTCTAGGTCAATCAAAGTTTGCCCATAACTGGATTATGTGGTACAAGATATAGATATTACCTCCGATTGGGTGTTATAAGTTGTAATAGAGGACTAAATTAACCATAGGACCAGACTTACAATCCCAACAAACACTTAACATAACCTTTTTTGCCATCAATTCAGGCTTCAAAGTAAGTTATGGAGGGTTACCAAGGGTATTTTTTCCATTTTTCTTCTAATTAAGATTCTAGATATATGGATACTAACAACATTTAGTGACAAAAAACTGCGGATAGTTTGCAATATCACCCAATATATAATAGAAAAGTTACGCGTTATAATATGTAAAAATATACTAAAGATAATGAAGATAATAAAATACACAGAGATAATTGACGGATCATAGAAATCACACATAGGTTTCCGGACCCTTAGCGATAATATAATTAATATTTTGTATTATTTCTAACAATAAACTAAATGTAGTAATGCAGCGCAAATGTTAAGTCATTGTTGCTTAAGATTTTATTAACATATTTAAATTGTTATAAAAAAAAAATCATACGTATGTATGTTTAAATTTAACTAAAATATTTTCGTTTTATTCGATTTACTAGAGTTGTTCTTGTTGTTATTGTTATTGTTGTTATTGCCATTGCTAAAAGTGCTGCGGCTGTCAGGCTTCTTACTACTTCAGTTTAGCTCTCAGTAGGCCACTTCAATATAAAAACTTCTCTTAACGACGTTCTTAGAAAAACAAAAACAAAAACAAAAAGAAAAAGAGAAAACATTAAAAAATTTAATACAACAAAGTCTTTTTACCTTCATCTTTTGTTCAAAAGCAAGCCAAGCCATGCAACAACAACAACAATAATAGCAGTGCCAACAACAACAAAAAGTTTAAGTGTAAACAGGAACTGGGGTCGACATGCTATAAAACGTTTTAAATGTATTCATATTATAGGCACTAACAATTATACTACAAAAACAAAACTAAACAACAACAAAACAAGAAGAAAACAATAAATGCAACGACACACTTGGAAGTGGAGCAACAACAACAACAACAACTACAACTGCAACGTAGCAATAATAGCAGTAGAACACATTTAAACTTTTGCAAAGCTTTACACAAACACTAACGCGACGGGGTCATCAAGCAAGGAGTATGTGTGTGTGCTTGTTTGTTATTTGTACTCATATTGATGCATGCGCCTATGCAAAGCAAAATGTAAGCTGAGCCTCACTTCGTTTATGCTTTTCATAAACGCTTCTATTTTTTTTTTTTTTTCATTTTATTTTCTTAATGTTATAACGTGTTTTCGCGCTTATTGCACTTTTACTGCATTTTTTTCATTTGTACTGTTTATAACGTATTTTACTACTTTTTAACAACTTTGAAGGCAAAAAGAAAAAAGTTTTAAATTTTCAGTAGTTATTGTTTTGTTTGTATTTTCATTTTTTTTTTTTATTTAAGAATTTCACATTTTTTTTTATTCGTTTTTGCCTCTTAACAAAGTATGAGTGGCAATATTTGAAGTAGCAAAGAACTTCCCCAGTCAAGCGTACATACGACTCCGCTGGTCTAAACTCCTTTTACGACAACCATGGCTTTTAGTTCTTTTTGTTTTCATAATATGCACTGAATACGAGTACTAGTTCCGAGTAGGACAAAAGTCCTACAACAACTATAACTGCCATAGCTCCTTGTACATATTATTATTTCTCACACGTTCCAATTACAAGCAAAATAATAGCGTGTGAAAGGGCCACTTTAGCGTTCAGCGGAAGTGATTGAAGGAATATGTGTGCATAATGTGTTCTAGCAAATACATAAATAAATTTATATACACATATATACCCAAATGAAGAGAAAGAAGTATACAAGCACTGTTACTACGTAATACAAAAGTGTTAGCAGAAAAATTTTTTTGCAAGGGGTACCTTAATTTTATATGTAACAGGCCTTACTCCCCTTCCGCTACTCCACACAGCGTTAACATCATTTCACACATACGCGCTACGCATTAAATATGTTTATTTTTTATTTCTTTTCTATTATTTCAAAGGGTTCCAAAGTGCTAAACTATGTTGTTTGTTCGCGTACCTGCTGTGGCATAGTTGATTTAGATTTTCTTTGCTTTCCTGACCATAGTTTGTCTTACCTCAAATTTACCTTTTCTTTGCTTTTGGTCTACCTTTTTAGTTTTAGTCTTTTTTTTACTTCCCCTATGAAACTTCCCCTACGAAGCTTCTGGACTATTACTTCGAAACTGTGATTCTATTGAATATCATTTTTGGTTTGTGCTCGTTCGTGCGTGCCTGCTCGCCTGCCTGCTTGCCTTCGTATGTGTGAGTGTGAGTTTGAGTGTGTGTGTTTGGCCTGTAATGGACGACAAACGTTTTCAATTAGCAACTCATGAATTTTTAAAAAATTGTCCTAATAAATATTTAACAATGGGGCGAACTGCTTAAGTATGAAGTTTTAATGGCTCTGTACATAGCACCGGACGTGGCAGTACATCCGTTGTAGCTTAAAACCACTGTGAGGTGACTTCTAAAGTGTTTTCTATTGTTATGTGGCTTACAAAATTAAAATTATAATATTATATTACAAAAATTTGCAAGACATGTAGAAAATAAGTAATTAAGGCATCTAACAACAATTTTAACTCAAAATTATGAAATATTAATTTTTTAACAATTTTATTTTTTCACTTTATACGGATACAAGATACGAAGATCTGTATTGAGGGGTTTGGGAAAAAATTATAATATGAAAATGTAATTAATATTTAATAAAGCTCAAAATTTCAACAATATATGATAACAAAAATATAGATTTAATATAATATTTTAAAATGAGAAAATCTAACTCCTTAGGAAAACAAACCGAAACCTCAAGGGAGACGTTCACAGATCACCAAGGAGAGCTTAATTGTCTGATTTTTCATTCCATTGAAAGTTTCTATAGCCTGGCGCCAACCATATATGACTGACATCCACAACCAGAGCATAGGTCGAAAACAAAATAATAATAATAATAGTCCCTATTATGTGGAATGTAATATATTTTAATCTTTACATCAATTAATACCAAATTAAGACATATACAACAGTACTAAATTTATATAAATTAAAAAACAAACCAAAAATTAGTGCTCAAATTAGCTAAATAACTAAGACACAAACAAATACAATGTGCTAGCTAACAGCACTATATATACCAAAACCCAAAAGGTCAACTAATGAAAAATTTTGTAGATAATAAATAACAGAGAATTTAATGTAATTTAATTTTACAAAAAATTATAATATCGGATTGCAACCAACACGCAATGCATTGCGTCTGTGTATCTTTGCTAATAGTCTTTCTGATACTTTTTTGCTGCCGCCCAAAGAGGTTACGGTATATATCATAATATATCCCTTAGCCATCGCTAGAGGATGCCTTCTCTCACCACCTAATGAACGCAAATGAACGATTTGCGTAAACAAGCTATCATCGTCGCTGCCTTAACGTTTACCACGGTAAAGTGCTATTTGGAAGTCAGTCTTACATCGATCATGAATCCAAGGTATTTTATTGTTTTTAATTAGTAGTATTTCATGCCTACCAATTGAATGTTTTATCTTCTTCTTTTACTTTCTTACGCTTATCAGTACCGCTTCTGAGCCGCAAAACTACAGTTCTGCATTTTTAAGCCATCATCGCACCCTTGCTAGGTATGTAGGTATATATGTATGTATGTGATTATGTCTTAGGAGCTGGACCATATAAACCTTTTTATCAATTTAACTGGAAATCTATTCATTCTGCCAAAATTTTGAATCTTCTCCATTATAGAGGGAAATAGTAAAGTGAAATCAAGAAACTTAACATTAAATATCTTAAATATTAGAATGGTAATGGATATAAAATTAGACCATTAGGAGTAACCTTTCTTAATAGTCAGCTTGGACAAAAATAAATCGTTGATGATCTTTTTACCATTTGAGTGGAAGGTTCTATTTCTTAAATATTTTTATGCTTTATTTAAATATTTAATATCAAACACAAAATACAGTTATCAAATATTTCTCATTTTTCAAAAAAAATATTCTTCAGTATTCCTGTAGATACATTCCGGCTTACATATATCGATTTAGTACTTCTGCCAAATTATTTTTGCGTAACAAAAACTTTTACTGTGAAGTTTAGTAAAAATAAACCAGAAAATAAAATACGTAACATATATTTTCCGAAAAAAATATATCAAAACCAAACAATTTAAATTTGTCAATGAGTTAAAAAGAAAATTATTGTACATTTAATATTCTCCTAAAAAAAGGACAAGAAGCGAAACTGACCAAGCGTCCACTTTTTCACACCTGGTAACCAAAAGAGCTTTGAACTTTTTCTAACCATCCAAACGTATAGGAAGAATAACTGCAAAAGGTGGTATCACTTTAACGGCTTAATGCCAATGGGGCAAAAACCATGTCAACAGACACAAAAACAGTTACATTAGCAATGGATGCATTGCATTCATATGTTCCGACGAACGCCTGCAGTAATTTTATTGCACATTAACGGTGAAATTGACGCAAAACAAGGAAAACAAGAGAAAGAAATACCAGGCGAACCAGTAAAAAAGGATCCATAAAGAACAAAGTGTATGAGCGTTGCAAAAACAGGCACGAGGAAAAACCTTACCGGAAATTCATTCGATTGGTAGCTGTTTCCGTTTTCCGTATAATGACCGGAAACTGTTTTTCCAACGTTCGATATTTTCCTGTTTTTGTTGCTATTTTTGCAACACCTTCAGCGAGCCGGCAAAAACAATAACCCTGAAGATATGTATGTAAGTAAGAAAAAGTGCAGCAATTTAATGTGTCAGCTATTGCTGTTAGCCCAACAACACGTACGGGTATCTGTAAGTATCTGTAGATACTTAAAAGCACACAATCCTTCGAACCATTGCTCACCACCTACTTCACCTCTGAATAAGCCGTTAAGCGTAAGGATATCAACTTAAAGTAAAATTACATGATGTTTTCAACTGTACAGAACTTTAAAGAATCGTTTAATTTATTTTGGAACATTTAAATAGATAATAGATTTAGTCAGATAATAATGACTTCAAGGCAATAGTAAAAAACTTAATTCAAATTATATTTATTTATGATAGATCTTATGGCTATCTGCTAAAATTATACCCTATCAAATAAAGATATTTCATTAGACTGTGTTTAATCAAATGATATGATATGATATGGTAAACCATATCAATAACTTTAAGATATATTCAATGCTAACTATAAAGCAATTGAACTGTCTTGAAGTGAAGTACATTTTCCTAAGAGATCAATTACATTAGATGTATATATCACTTCGACCTAAATCAAGGTAACTAAATGAATATAACACTTTCAAAAGATGAATCAAAGATTTTGAAAAGAACATATTTTCATACCAAGACAACCATATATCAGGATCCGGTTACGATGCCATTAGAAAAAGTAAATAGTAGGTTTGATTGCTTCTATTGTCTAATAAGATAATGTAATAATATTTTTTATAAAAATATCTATTAAGAATGGTTGTAATAAGAACTTTGATTAGATTATGTAAAAGAGAATTAGATTTATTTATGTAAAAGAGAACTAACCTGACAAGTCAGTAAACTTAGAGAATTGTACCATGAAAAAACTAATATCAAAACATATTAAAGGCAAGCCACTTAGTCAGAAAATTTTTTTGTTGAATCAGTTGTAGCACTCAGTGGCCGCCATGATGACTCTATGTAAACCGCATTCAACGACTTCTGTTGCACTTATGGGTCAGAGAAGTAAATAAAATGATTCATAATCAATCGAATTGGATGGATTTAGTTCTTTTCTATTTAAATTACTTACGAAAAACGTGGCAATAAAACAGCAAGCAATCACTAATTATGGGAAGTGAAAGAATATCTGTCACTGCAATCAACCAACGTTTTCAATGGGAGATACTCATAAGAAGGAATGGATAGAAGTGGATGGATATCTGCAGACTAGCCATTGCAACCGAACAATATTTCCAATGCCCAGTACTGAGGAGAAGGCGTCCATTTGCTATACATTAATAACTATCTTACAAAATAATTCAGATTTCCCGGGAATGCTTATTTCATTAGGAACTTCAGTGAAGTCAATAACTTTTTCTACTATGCTATGTTGATATACAGCGCAGTGGTAAGTATTGCTCAAAATAGCTGACTTTAATTTGGAAATCGGAAATGCTAGCATCAGAAATATATGGACTAGAAATATTTCCCGCTTCATAAAATCGTCACGTCAAGTAGTCTTCTGATCACAAGGTTCTTTATTCAATTTCTATTAACTAATCAATCGCTTAAAACTGTTCTGTGGTATGACAGAATCAAGAGTCATATAACATGATAACCTTCCGTTAAGGCTCTCACAACTCTGACATTAAAGCTAAACGTTTGGATATAATTTCCTCCTTGTTGGACAACGGGACCAATCTAACACCTCTACTCTTCTTTGAAACACAGCACCCGTCAACCACGTATGTTTGGTGTTTAACCACAACCACAACAGATGGGCTCCTTAACTCCTTTCAAAGAGCCCATCTCTAATATATATCTGAACTATACGAATAGACTCGATCTGCGCTGTCTATTCTCCTATAAAATATATCTACGGGCGTTCGAAGAGCAGTCACCAGAGCACCAGTTGTTTTTGTCTAAGCATGTCTAAAAACAATCTTAGGCTTTTGAGTATCCTATTGTTAAACACACTAAGAGGTATTCGAAATGTTAGTATTGGTCAAATATTTGCATTTATTATTACGTCCTGCGGTTTTTTAATATGCCCCTCTTTCCACCCACAATTACAAGATTTGTCGAATCTAAAAGAGTTTTCTTAGCTAATTGAGAAGGTTTTGATTCTCCTTCCACTTCACTTTCCTGTCTACCTAGTTCCCCCAGGAATAAACTATGAAATCTTTTATTTAATATTCATAAGTTTTTGATGCAAAATAACTAAATACTTTTAAGGCAATTTTAGCATATAAATTTCTTGAAGTTA